CCCCAAAACCCCAAAACCCCAAAACCCCAAAACCCCAAAACCCCAAAACCCCATAAACTACTCCTTAAATTGAAGAAAATATATCCGCTTTTAATATTCGTGTTTATTCTGCTTTTGCTTTTCTTTCAAAACCACTATTCTTCTTGTCTCTGTGGTTCTTCTCAAAAGCTATTGACTCCTGGAACTTGTGGTATTCAACCTTGAGTCCAGCATCGGAGGCCCCAATTGCAGCCAAGAATTCTTCTTTGACTTTTTCCTTTTGGTCTAAATCGGAGGCGTCGCTATGCCAAATGGACAGAGAGTCTCCTCTCGGCTTGATTCTGACTTCAATTCCGCAGATGGAGTCTCCGTGAGTGAACTGGTTCCCGATCAGGTGGAGCAGAAGGTCCTCCCACAGCTTGTTGGTCTGGCCCTTCGGGAACCAGATGTGCCATCTTCCTCCGTCTTTGTTGGAGTCGTCTTCCCAGATAGGTTTGATTCCTTGCTTGAACACATGGTAACAGGTCTTGGACAGAGCTTCGTTCGGCTTCAGAAGATATTGGTAAGCAGCCCAGAAGTCTTCGACGGTCTCCACTTCGGCAACTGGCTCCATGACATGAGTCATGTTGCGGTCGGAGTCTTGGTCTTCTGATGGAATAAATCCTGAGAACCAGATCGTGTAAGGTCTGGCTAACCTAGATGTGGAAGAACCAGCATTATCCATTTTCTAAATTTATATCTTTTGGTGGAGGTTTCATTCCCATTTGTATGCTCAAGGCTCTCTTTGACCCAAAGTTTGAAACCTGCCAGAATAAAGGTTCTGCTTGCCAGTTGAGTACTGCCTCTGGGTGCTAGGTTAGAGATGTGGGTTGAGGAATAGTTGAGTTAGATTTTGGGGAAAGAGTTTTATAGGAGTTTGGAGAAGGTTGGTGCAACGGGTGGTGGCTGGGATGTTTTAGATATTTGAGATTTAAGTTTTTAAATCTTAGAGATCAGAAGATATGGATATTTATTGAGTTAGGTAGATAAATAATTGATTTCAGATTTTAGTTTATTCATTCTTTTTGTTATCTTCATATTTGACTGATATAAGTATAGAAAATGTAATAATATAGGATGTGCCTCTGGGACAAATAGATTAATTTTTTAGCTTTTACTGCATTGTATTCTTCATGGCTGATCGCTTCTACGACAAACTGAGAACAAGAGTCCAAAGGTGGAGAATCAGCTTTTAGTAATATTGAGTCTAAATAGTTTTAAAAACAACTAATGCTTCTAAACTTTATACCGATGTCTTGGATATAGCATTTTGAAGATTACAAGAATCTTAAAGATTCAGTAGTAGTCTCAAATAAGATTTAGACAGGAATGAGGCTTGGAATGATTTAGCTGTTAAGCATTTGATCTCTCTCTGTCAATTAACAACATTTATTCAAAAATTATTCTTAACTAGTAAGAATGTTTAAATTTCTTCTTTTGTAAAAATTATCCCTTAAAAATATATTCAGAGGTTCTTTAAAGATTTTTGGAAGCCAATAGCTAAATGAAACCAATATAAAGAAGGAGTAAGATATTTCTATGCCCTATATCTCACTTTCTATAATCATTTGAAAACCTTAAAAAGTATTTTGTCTAGAAAATTCTAAAGAAACTTAAACTTTGGAGAAATATTTTTCTGGTAGAGAGAAAAAGTGTTCATGATTATGTTTGAATTTTTATAACATAAACAATCAAATCGAACACAGATTTAAAGGTAAATTCTAGAATAACTACCATCTGGAAAGTTGCTAAAATACCTTTGCTTATGTGTTGTCATATATCGACTTGAAACTGACTTTAAAACCGGCATTATTAAGTCTCGGCTTTCCTTGACCATCATTTATTTCAACAATCAAGATACTTGTTTAAATATATCTCCAGCTTTCTACATTTTCTAATTGCTAAGTGTGTGTTATCTAAATTATAAGAGGTTTAATAGTTGAGCTTTTGGGATATTTCAATTATATTTTGAAACAGCGGGGTTTTGGGGTTTTGGGGTTTTGGGG